GGGGAAGGAACCCGGGCTCAGCGGGCACGCGCGTGCCAGGCCTGCACACGCGTGTCACACGTGAACCCACGGCCCTCCCGGGGCTGGCGACCGAACGCCCCAGGGCCAGCCCCCCACCCTGCTCTCACCACTCAGCCTTACGCCTCTCCCAGCGCTGGGGATGGAAACCAGGTGTCCTGACCCCCCGACCCCGCGGACTCACCATGATGCCTTGCCCGGGGCGGTATTCGTTCACCAGGACGTGATTGGCCGCCTGCCCTCCGAAAACGCCCAGGGCCGAGACCTCTTCAACCCAGCGCTGCAGCCAGGGGGGCAGCGGCTCCGGGACCAGGCCCTTGGGATGGGGCAGCCCCCCTGGGGGGACAGACAGGGTGGACGGGGGTCCCGGAGAGCCAGCGGGGCAAGAGAGGCCAACCTACCCCCGCCCCCCCACCTCACAAACAACTGCCCCCTGTCAACCCCAGTTCCCCTTTAAGCCCACCCCTTCCCAGCACCACAGCTGGTGGGGGAGACGGAGGCTTGGAGGACCCTGAGCCCCAGCCCGCCCCTCGGCTCTCCTGGCCCCCCAGGGTCCCATCCCCCACAGCTCACCCCAATTCTGCAGCCTCCTTCCAGAGAGCTGGGTCCACTTGGGCTTGGGGGCTGCGTACACCTGTGGGGGGCCGAGACCGCGCTAGGAGCTGCACAGATCCATCGAGAGACGGAGGGGAGGGGAAACTGAGGCAGTGAGGGGTTCACAGGGGTTAATGGCACTGCTCTTGTCCCAGATCTCCAGGATAGAGAGTGGGGAAACTGAGGCACAGAACAGGGGGTGCCACTCACCCCCTATTGGCCAGGGATGATCCATTTGCTTGTGTCCCCCCCCCCCCATCTAGCTGCACCTCTGCTTGTACCCCTCCCCCCCCACCTCTGGTGCCCTCACCGGGTGCCCGGCCTGCCCGCCCCCACTTCGTACAGCGCCTGGCGCGGGCACCCGACCCCGCTCCAGCTCTTGATCACGGGGGAAGGAAAGCGAAGGGACAAATCTTGGGGGTGGGGGAAGGGGGGGGCACCAGACACTTCCCTATGGCCAGTGGAACCCCCTCTTTCCCATAATCCTTTGCAAATGAGATGGTGGGGGTGGGGAAATCTCACTGACCTGCTGCAAAAGCCGGGCCTCCTCCGCCTCGGAGATGAAGTCTGGGACGTAATAGGCTGCGGGGGGTGCCTGCCACGCATAAATCAGCATGCTAACGAACGTGCCTCGTTATGCCCATTGTGCCAGCGGGGAAACTGAGGCAGAAGGAGGCACGCAAGGACTGCCCCCGCCCCCAGGAAAGACCAAGAGGAGCTGGGTGCAGAAGCCGTTATCCCCATTTTGCGGATGGGGAAACTGAGGCACAAGGGCATAGTTAGGACCCCCCCCCCCATGAATGCACTACTCAGCGGGGGGGCCCCCTCCTCTGGCCCCTGGGCCCCGCTGCCCCCAATGGGGGAGGTGGGGGACCCCAGGGCTGGGTTGGGGTTCAGAGGTCACCGGCCCTCCCGCACTGGTGCAGACTGGGCATACTGGGAGTGTCTCAGCTGGGGAGGGGGGGCGGGGCTCACCTCCTGGGCTATGAAGGGGTCCAGAGCTGGGACGCGGGGGCTCAGCACCTCCATCGGGCAGGATCCGGCCTGGGGGGGGACGCAGCAGCAGCAGAGACCCCAACCAAAGGG